CAGCAGCTGGCAATGGTCACCTTACGGTTGTGCGATGGCTACACCAACATTGCACAGATGGATGCACGACATTAGCACTGGAGAATGCGGCAAGCCATGGCCACTTAGAAGTCATTCAGTGGTTACACGAGAACAGAAGCGAGGGTTGTACTACCAAGGCAATAGATGGAGCCGCGAGCAACGGCCATCTTGATGTAGTTAAATGGCTACACAAATACAGACGAGAGGGTTGCACAGCCGCCGCCATGAACGGGGCTGCTCGAGGAAACTATCTTGACGTACTTCAGTGGCTACATGACCATCGTACCGAGAGCTGCACACAAGACGCAGTAGATGGAGCTGCTAGCAACGGACACGTAGCAGTGATGCGATGGCTTATCGCTCATTGCTCTGAAAATTGCTGGTTGTCACGCGCCGCGCTAGAAAATGCGGCTGCAAACGGTCAGTTAGACGCGGTGAAGTGGCTGTACAAACAACACATTCAAAGCAGTGCCTCCGAATGGATCGCCTCTGGTGCAATGGATCGTGCAGCGAGCGGCGGGCACTTAAACGTGGTGGTGTGGTTTCATAACCGTCGTCCAGAGTTCGGGAGCTGCACGACTGCAGCATTGGATGGTGCCGCAACAAATGGTCACTTGGAAATGGTGAAATGGTTGCATGCGAATCGCCGTGAAGGTGGCACGTATCGAGCTATGGATGGAGCAGCAGCAGGAGGTCATTTGGAGGTGATGATGTTTTTATACGTGCACCGTTCAGACGGGTGCACATCAGACGCAGCGGTGAACGCGGCACTAAACGAACATGTGGAGGTCGTGCAGTGGCTCCTTCAACATTACCCTCAGCAGGCTCACCATGAAAAAGTCCGCATGTTTGCGGCAAGGTACAACTATTCACTGCTCCAGCAGGCTAACCGCGTCGTTCCTGTGTACTAGACTTGAAAGGTACAAAATAATCTTTGGTTCCCTAGAATGCAATAAATGCTGTATTGGATGAAAATTCTCTCGACTCCTTCAGTCTTGATGCTTACGCGGTCTTCTCGTCAAGGAACGGATAGTCCGTGTAACCCGTCTCGAACGGCACATCAAGCGGTACGTACACTGTCTGCCAGTTCACCGGGTTGAGTTCGGCCCCTGTACGAATGCGCTTCACAAGATCCGGGTTGGAGATGAAGTCGCGCGCGAAAGCCACGAGGTCCGTCGTTCCGTCTTCAACCACTTTGCGAGCCTCGTCGCCAGTGTAACCTGACGCGCTGATCATCACGCCATCGTACATCTTGCGGTGAATCTTGGTGACGCCTCCGTCCGGTGCGTCTGGTGCAGGCTGCTGCATGCCACGCGGTTCAACCATGTGAAGGTAGGCCAGGTCGTAGTCGTTCAACTTCTTCACAACGTAGTCATAGATTTCGCGAGGGTTCGAGTCTGTGCATCCGAATGCAGTGCCAAACGGAGACAAACGAATACCCACCTTGCTTGAATCCACCGAAGATAGAATGGCCTCGATCGCTTCGAACACTATGCGCGAGCGGTTCTCTGGGCTGCCACCGTACTTGTCCGTGCGGAGATTCGTTCCGTTTAGCAGGAATTGCTCCAGTAGGTATCCATTCGCGGCGTGAAGCTCAACACCATCAAAGCCCGCTTCGAGAGCGTTTTCAGCTGCACGTTTATAGTCATCGACGATGCCTGGAATCTCGGTGATCTCAAGAGCTCGTGGATTCGGGTGAGGCAAACGACCTTCAGCAGTGGTGGCGAGACTCTGCACTCCCTCCATGCTCGTTGCGCTCGCCGACACAGGTTGGGCTCCATTCGGAAGGTTCAAGGGGTGACTGACGCGGCCTGTGTGCCACAATTGGTTGAAGATCTTGCCGCCTTTGTCGTGCACTGCGGATGTTACGGCCTTCCAGCCTTCCACTTGCTCCGGCGTGTAAAGACCCGGGGCTCCGTAGTAACCGCGAGCATAAGCACTGATGTTGGTGGCCTCCGTGATCAGCAGACCGCCATCAGTAGCACGTTGCCTGTAGAATTCGGCTACAGCAGGTCCAGGCACTCCGTCGCCGCCAGTACGCTGACGGGTCATGGGTGCCATGATCACACGATGCTTCAATTGGGTTGGAGCCTTCTTGCCGCCGAGTTTCACTGCGGAGAAGAGCTTGGACGCCATGGTGAACGATGAGCTGGAGTCGATTGTTGCTGACTTGGTTACTTGGAGGAGTTTTGAAGAATGCTAGATGAGATGCTAGTCGCATGGGCATTGTGAGCATGATAACCAAGCACAAGACGCAATTAGGTCTCGCGTGGCAATCACTGCAGTTCCGCTTCTGTTTACCACAACCGATTACGCGATCTGAATTTGGGTAGTAAAATGTTGCCGGAACAGCTATCGAAAAAAAAAATTCTGTACTAATAGAACGGTTCTGTTGATCGTGGTCAGCATTATTTTAAGTGTAACAACGAGGCACATGCGCTAGTAAGTGTTGGCGGCAATCCATCGCATCTCGACGGTGTCGCAAAGACTTTTTTTTCAAAATAATGCTACCTTTACCGTATTAGCCCTCGCAACGGCATCCTCGGCTTGGATTCCTCGCCGGGCTCTGTTTACCTTATCCTCGTACACCCGAAGCTTTTCTCGGCGGCTTCTCAGTGATGAATAGAACTCAATCATTTATGAGGTCATGATCTTTAAGGTAATACTTCTATTTGTCCAGTAGTCGAGCAACGATGGAGTACAAAACTCCCGGGAAGCATTCTCCTGCATATGTAGTGCGTGGAGCACAGTACCAGACGACACCGCGGCAGTCACAAGTCACAGGTTAGCGTCACAAGCAGAGCACACCCCGTCCCAGCCGAGACA